CTCTAATCGTTCCTCCGTTGACCCCCAGCTCTAATGGTTCCTCCGTCGACCCCCAACTCTAATCGTCCCTCCGTTGTCCCCTACCTCCAAGCGTCCCGGCGTTCACCCCAGCCATGGGCGGCCAGCGCTGTTTCTGGCGTCGCCGGAGCCCGCGTCTCGAGCCCGAACCCATCGCGGACGGGCACGTGAGACCATGCATAGTGTATGCGTCAGTACCGTTAACGAGCGATACCAATCTCTATTTCAGACGGTCAGGCCGTCAACGGACAACATAAAGCAGAGATATGCACAACGTATCGTCGTCGGCTTGGTAGGGCAGTTGGTTGAATCACTCGTCTTCAGATTTATCCACCCGTGGTGGGGTGGGTTCCAAGTTGCTTTAGGTGTTTGCTATTTCTTCCTAACTGGTGCCGCCTACGACCGTTGGCAGTAACCACGCTAAAAGTTAGGCGACGCGTGGATGTGGTTGGAATGAACCGTGACGAGCATGGCGCCACATTAAATTTTCACTGCTAAAATCTAGCGTAAACCCAATATTTTACGATTGGATGGTCGCTCATAGCTCACACAACAAACGCTATTTAGCGGGAGTTCTAGTGTAAGAGACTCATCGATTCAGAACGTTTGGATAAAAAACAATACAAAAAGAAAATCTGCCAGCTGCATGTAATGCCCAACTAACCGCATGCATGCTCAGCTCACTGCGCCTGAGGCGAGTGTGCGACGCTCTTCATAAGCTCGAGACGTCCCTTGTTCCAGAGCGGACGCTGACCTTTGCACCGCGCGTTGAATTGGGAAGTTGGCCGATGGTCGTCAAAGGTCGTGTGTGGGCGCCCACCGGCATGCCTGGCAGCTCGACCGGCACCATCACGGACGACGCCTGGCAGCTCAGCCGGCCCCAACACGACCGGCCACCACATGCCTGGCAGCCCGACCGGCACCATCACGGACGACGCCTGGCAGCTCAACCGGCCTCAGCACGGACCACCATCGACGCGGTTAGAAGTTCAACCGGCCCAAAACGGCCGACCACCGGCCCAAAACCACCGGCCTGGCAGCTCAACCGGCCCAAAACGGCCGACCACCGGTGCGCCTGGCAGCTCAACCGGCCCGAAACGGCCGACCACCGGTGCGCCTGGCAGCTCAACCGGCCCGAAACGGCCGACCACCGGTGCGCCTGGCAGCTCAACCGACCCAACACGGCCGTGGAGTCCATACAAGGCATGGCCGATTATAGGCGGGCTGGAGAGCTTATCAGACCGTGGGGGCATTTAAGACGGGTGATCACCGGACGATTGGTCGTATATGATGACTATACTTGTACCGTAGCCGTTACAATCAAACTAAAAGTCTGGGAGGATCGGCTGAGGCAGCGTCCTAATGATGCGTTTTTCTTTTTTAAGCCCCGGGTAAGTGAATCCGGGAAGCCGAAGTGATGAGGACATCCCCTGGGTTCATCCCGCTGTGCGAGTTCGATTCCGTTTATGTCCCAACTCCATTCCTATCGCTATAAGCTTTGGTTTGTGTTCGTGACTTGCCTCCAAACACTATAAGTGTTTGGAGGCAAGTCCGTTTAAAACTTTGCAGCCATAAAACACCAGCCACGTCAGCTTTTAAAAGATGTCGATACATTATATATTTGTGAGCTCAGGTATATCAAGTTATGTACTCTTTCATCTCAACTGAAGGCAAATTAGGCCTGAGGGTTTCACATGGACGACCAAGCCACTCAAACAAGCGTGGGTAAAGAAGATAACCTGCATCAGCGACTGTGTGACATTGGACGAGATCAACGTGACATTATTCAGATGTCTCCGCTGGTATCTGTCTGCAACAACGCGCTTAAGCTGAATAACTCGATTCCCATATCACCATCGAGAGGTATCCAGCCAACCGTGCGTCTCTTGAAGGCTGCTGCCACAAAAGGTCAGAAGCCGTCGCCCAAACTTAAGCCGTTTTGAATGGAGCCTCTAAAAGGCTGCTCCCGGAAGGCATCAACTATAGATGCCACGCGACCTTTAGCTGCAAGGCTGCACAACACTCTACCATGATTCGCGCCACACCCAGTCGCGAATCTAGTCGCAGCAGTGTGTCACTAAACTCACTCGTCTCACTTGGACTGGACGGCCATCCGGCCATCCGTTTACACCCGCTCTGCTCACCCATGGTTGATGTGGCTTGCGACCTCGACTTGATCGTCCTCGGCCTTGATCTCCTCCAGGACTATTTGCCCCACCCCATCAGGAGCGAGGTCAAAGGGTGGGACCTCCCTTAGGCTTGGATTTTGTTATATTTTTAACCAAAGATCGTTTCCATCAGGAGACATGGCGTGTGTTCACCGAGCTCCGTCCCCCTCCCTTAAGAAAATCCTGGCTGCCTGGAACCCTACACCTCATGCCCGTATTCTCCTGGCTGGGGCCCTGCACTTCATGCCCGTGTTCTCCTGACAAGGGTCCTTCACCTCATGCCCGTGTTCTCCTGCCTGACTGGGACCCTATATTTCATGCCCGCGTCCTCCTGGCTGGCTAGAACCCTGCATCTCATGCCCGTGTTCTTCTGGCTGGGGCCCAGTATTTCATGCCCGTGTTCTCCTGGCTGGCTGGGGCCCCGCATCTCATGCCCGTGTTCTCCTAGCTGGGGCTCTACATCTCATGCCCGTGTTCTCCTGGCTGGCTGGGGCCCTGCATCTCATGCCCGTGTTCTGCTGGCTGGCTAGAGCTCTGCATCTCATGCCCGTGTTATCCTGGCTGCGGCCCTGCATCTCATGCCCGTGTTCTCCTGGCTGGGCCCTGCGTCTCATGCCCGTGTTCTCCTGGCTGGGCCCTGCGTCTCATGCCCGTGTTCTCCCGGACCTTTCGCCGTTCACCAGCCCGTAAGCTACCAGTAAGGCAGCTTGCACAACACGGGGCGGGTGAGAGGATCGCATGCGTGGGAGCTATCGACGAGCGACGGGATCGCATGAGTGGGAGCTATCGACGAGCGATGGGATCGCATGAGTGGGAGCTATCGACGAGCGACGGGATCGCATGAGTGGGGGCTATCGAAGAGCGATGGGGTCGCATGAGTGGGAGCTATCGACGAGCGATGGGATCGCATGCGTGGGAGCTATCGACGAGCGATGAGATCGTAGGCATGAGAACTATTGACGAGCGAGGGGATCGTAGGCATGAGAACTATTGACGAGCGAGGGGATCGTAGGCATCAGAACTATTGACGAGCGAGGGGATCGCATGCCTACGGGGTTTACCGTCTGTTACCTTGTAGGTGATGCCAAGTTACCGTCTGTCACCTTGTAGGTGATGCCAAAAACTAAGCTACTCGAGCCAGACGCCAGACACTTTTGACAATCCTTACAAACGGAGTTGATTAATGCGATGATTATACGGGTTGACAACGGATTTGATTAACGCCTTGGCATGTCCAGCTTTCATAAGAGTTTAACAAGTAAAGGACGAATTTGGTAACTTCGCTTAATGACAAATGACGTCTGAAAATAGCATGAGCTGCGCTCGAATTGCCGCTTTTGCTTGCTGTCAGCAGTTTGTAACGGGCTTGACCAATCACGAACACCGATTTTGTGAGCGAGGCTTTGGAAACTGGGAAGAGTTAATGCCACATATTCGATGACAAAACGATGTGCCCGCCCCTTGGATATCGGAGAGGCAAACGGAAGCAAAGAGTTACTTATTTTTTGTGCTTTGAGCGTCAACGTATCACGCGACTTAGTGGAGCTTTCTGTCCTGCAATATACGAGACTGCGCAATGCTGTTGAAGTGTGATCGAAATAATCTTTTTTGACGCGAAAATGCAAATCGTGCCATAGTATACTATGCTGAACTACAATCATGCACTATGATGTGTAGCCGCCTTTTCATCAGGCTATAGCTGCCTGCAATCGAAGACCATCTGTTTTCTGTCAGGCCAGCCGTTCCCTGAGTACATGGTGACACAGTGGGGTCGAATTATATTTTTGGGGGGCGGCGGGGGAGGGGCGAGCCACGGGCCCAACAGCATAACCTACCCGAAGCATGTGATTCTCGACGGATTAGGACCAGTATTGGTTGACGAAAGGTAATTTTCAATTCATGTCTGCTTGTGAATTATCATTACCAAAAGGCCATCACATGGCACCTTAAAAGGTAAGCTTTGTTGTGCATACCCAGCTTTGCCCTCTTGTAAAAACGGCAAAATTAGTAAATGGGTCCAAACCAACATTTTGGGACGGGGGTAAGGAGACATTGGTGGGGGCAGGAGAAAATCGGCCCTGGGCCGTCACGAAATGATATAAAATGACCTTGTGGTGACTTGATTCGTGTTTATCCCTCCTCTCCTTGTTGTTGGAAAAGCGAAGAAAAACTGACTGCCGAATCAAGGTCTGACGATGAGTCTGGAAGTGTCTGGCAATTAAGTGGACAAATGCATGAAATTGCAGTGGTGCACAGTTTTGGAAATTATGACCAAAACATTGTGGTATAAAAGCCAGAATGTTTTGCAAAGACATTGACCGCAATGAACAGGATCACCCCGCGCGTGGTTTTCATGGTCGTTCTCTTGCAGTCAAGGCCACAAAGATTGAGTCAAGTCAAGCCAGATTCAGGTTAAGCACGGTATTTGAAACCGGTGGCTGCGAAGGTGACATAGGTCGCTTTTCCATCGATCAATAAACATTTTTTTTCAACTTGTTCAAAAAGGCATAATAATCTGGCCAGACATGTCCGAGCCGGTCCGGGTCGGGTCGGGTCGGGTTGAGGTCCACAGATATGATTCGATGTGTAGATATGTGCTCTCGTCTAGATGTGGTCAAGGTATGGTTCTTCAAGGTCCCCGATAAGGTTCGCTTGGCCTGCTGCCACACTTTAATAGACTCAGAATCAGGCTTGAAACATAAAATCTGGAATCAGTCCCACGAATTGTGCACGATAGTGACCCTTCCAACATAACACCTAAGCCCGACTCCTTCCTCCTCCAGCCCACCGCCCACCACCGCACCCGCCTCTCACCGTTGATGCGCGTCTCAGTCTTGCAGGCCGTCTTGCGCAGGAACTCGTACTTGGCAATGAACGAGTACGAGTAGAAGTCCTCGGCGGCCGTCATGTTGAACACGTCGTAGCGCAGCTCCAGCACGCTGGCCGTTGACTCGACGACGATGGGCGTACCGGTGGTGCGGTCGGCGCACACGCAGTCGCGCCACACCCGCACGCCCGGCCAGGGCACCTCGGCCAGCCGCAGCTCGGAGCGCGCGCCGCCGTGGTAGCGACACCGGTAGCGCTGCAGCCGCTCGTCGCGCACCGTCTCGCAGCCGCTCTCGTCGGCCGCCGTGAACTTGTTGACGAGGATGCGCACGCGTTCGCCGGCCGTGCCCTCGAAGCGGAAGAGGCAGCGCAGGTGCGTGCGCCCGCCGCGACCGTACAGGAACACGTTCTTGGCGGGCCCGAACGACCCCTTGCTGAGGCGACCGCGGCTTGCGAACACGCGGTGGCACGGCTCGTCCCCTAGCTGCTGGCCGTCCTCGCGCATGTCGACGAACTCGTAGCGGAGTTGAAAGCTGGCCGTGTCGAGGCCAAGCCCGGTGACGTGACGCTGCGTCAGCGTGACGTTCTCGGACGACGAGAGGTAGCTCTCGTGCAGCGCGCACGGCGGCACGGCCGCGCCGCCGGCCGCTCGCAGGGCGCGCGTGCACAGCAGCGGCTTGGTGTCGCCGCAGAAGAAGCCGAGCGAGCGGTTACGGCCGCCGCCGGGGGCGCCGTCAATGATGTCGAGGCGGTGGTGACAGTGACGCGACTTGGCGTCGTGACCGTAGCCCTCCTGGTGGCTGGCGTGGTAGGTGACGTGGTACTGCAGGAAGTACAGCCAGAGCCGCTCGTGGCTGCGCCCCAGCAGCGTATACGTACAGCTAGTGTTGGACGGCAGGCTGTGGGCCGGACTGCCGATGAGGCCCACTGGACTGATGGTGCTGGTGAAGACGTAGCGGCAGCCGCTGCGGTCCACGAAGCGCGTGCGCTCGCTGATGTTGACAAAGCGCACGCTCACGTCCAGCTCGAAACCGGGGATGTAGGAGGTGGGGTGCTTTAGCTTGTCCCGCGACAGCGCCGGCTGGCTGAGCCGGTCGAAGGCGGACGTCCGGAACTCGACGATCATGTTGGGCCCGCTGGACACGAGCGGCGGCAGCGCGCCGCCGCCGCAGAACTTGAGCAGCTTCGGCGCCGACTTGGTCATACCGTCGTACACAGTGACGAAGTCCCGCACCAGGTCGCACTTCGCCCAGGTATGGAGCTGGCGCACGGCGCCGCCGGCCGAGTCCGTGTCTTTGACGTTGATGAGCTCGCCGTACCGCTGCGAGAGCACGAGGAGTGCGCGCGTGCCGCCGGGCGGCTCGCTGTGCTTGATGTGGTAAGAACACGTCACGTTACGCGGGTACAGCCCCGGGAAGTTCGGGCTCTGGATTCGGCAGCGGACGCGGTCGCAGTTGTCGAACATGAAGTCACAGAAGCTGTTGTACACGGGGATGCCGCGGAACTTGGCCTGTTTCGGCCCGCTGCGCATCACCGCCCGCTGAGCGCTGATGAACTTGTAGCGCAGCTTGACGTAGAATTGGCTGACCTCATCGCCGCTGAAGCTGCCGCCGCCACTGAGCCGGTACAGCCGGAATGTGACGGTGACGGTGCTGGTCTCGCTGTAGTACACGTTGTATCCCCAACCGGAGCCGCACCAGAAGCCGTCGTTGTGGATCCGACCGACCTCGGCGATTTGCATGTGGCTGTGGGGCAGAGAGCGAGGCGCCTCCGGTCACGTGACGCGACGGACTGCGTTACAGTTACTCAGCGCCATCACAAGTTTCACATAGAGAAGTTAAGAAGTCTAAAGGCACGAAACCCCTAAGAAGTATTGGACCACCAAGCAGTGCAAGAAGGTTCTAACAGGGGTGGATGAGGCATGGATGGAAAGAAGGCGCGGAAAGGGGTGATGCGTGAACTCCGCTAGACCTCCGGCTACAAACAGCATGTAGCAGTTTTAGAAGCTTTTGAAGGCGTATATGAGATAAGTCGCCTGGTACACATCGATATCGCGCGTTGCAAGGATTTTCACTGTTATGACGTGACTTAAGGCGGCCTTGCACTAAGCATGGTACATTGCGCCGAATCGCTGGTACTGCAGGGCGGTCCGATGTGTGTGTAAGTCAGAAAACGTTTGATGGATCGAGCACCACAGCGCTTTTGAAATGGAAAATACATTCGCAAACACACATGACATAAATGTATTGCAAACGGAAAGGACGAACAAGAACGTAGAATGAACGGAAGAAACACAGTCTCGCTACAAGGATAGTTGGCGGGAGGACAGTATTCTACAAATGCATCTAGAGGAATAGAGATATGACAAGAAAAGAAAGATGGGAAACATTAAAAGCGAATATCTTCTTTAGGTTCGTTAATATATTATGCAAAGCTCTCCAGCTTCTCGAACTATCATGCATACGGTCCACTTCACAACCCCATCTCAGAGTCTGACCAGCGCGCGCGGTGTCGCCTGCTGTTTGCCGTGCTCAAACACGATGACGATTTAGTTAAGGCAATAACTGCAGCATAATTTGCCAAATACAGCAGGCTGGGGCTGGTGCGCGGAGCACTTAATTGGCGTAATTAGCCTCGCTGGTCGCCAAATTATTACAACCGCCAGCCCGAGCGCCAAATGAAATCATGCAATTTGCGTGTCCGACGTCGGAATTCGGACAGCGCACCAGCCTTTCTTCCGTTCATTTCTTGTGGACTATTTGTGCTAAAGATAATAGATGTTGAATGTAATAGTGCACCAGGGCTCTAAAACGATGCATCACGCTAGGTCGCAAGCATAAGAGCTCTGCTTGGTGGGATGTGTTGTGGAGGAACACGCTTGACTGCGAGCCAGACTTGTGGTCGACTCAATTTTGTTGAGTCGGCTCAGGAATGGCTCACAGATTTTGAGATCCGAATCAACTCACGACTCATGGCTTGCATTGAATCATTTGGCTGATGACTCACACAGCTTGCAAATATAAGATCCGATTCAGTTCTGGTTCATTTAGGTGTATATATATATATATATATATATATATATATATATATATATATATATATATACAGCTTAGCAGCAAGTTTGCAGTTTAAACCTACCAAATGCAGTGCAGCAAACAATACCTTTCCTGTGACCTATTACCAACCAGCTCTCTCAAGTCTCAAATCTAGGCTGGCATATTCCACGTGGCACCTACGACCCATACCCATTAGTTCAAAAGCATGCAACGTGGACAGGACTGCACTTAACCTCACAGCTTGCAGCCTGCACCTGCCAAGTGCCAGCCAAGCTCATTCACATCACATTTCCACTAGCCAGTTCCAGCCACGCCGTCGGCACTAGCGTGTTAGCAATGCAACATTGGATTGTAGTTCTTGCAATAGGGGTAAGCCAGCATAGCTTACAAACATGTGATCCTTCCTAATACCTGAACCTAATCAGTAATACAATTCATCCTTGCATCTCTCACAAACAAGCCCAAAAGAAGTTCAATTCACTCAAGCCATTCCTTCCAGCCAGCAGGAAACTGAGCTGAACTGAGTTGAGCCCTGAACAACCGAACTAGAGATAGGCTAACGTAAGCGTCAGGTTGTCCTAAACTCATCTCATCAGGTCACTCTATGATGGGCTAGGAGTCAAAACAGGCTTCCGCGCTGCATAGAGTTTAGGGCGCTGTGGGTCACTGCCCGCATTCCAAGACTTCTTAGTTTGGAGGCCACATTCTCACAAGTTGCGTATAGCGTGGATATAGTTATTGACAATATCCCTTGAGGTCATACGGGACATACAATGCGCATATGCGACAAGACCATCTTGCTGTTTATTACATGATAATGAAAAATGAAAAACATGACCATTCCATTGGCTTTATAGATCGAAGACATTCTTTCACTGATTTCAGGATATGATACAAGAATGTACGATGTCTGCACCACTGTCTGCACCACGTAATATCCTCTGGTCTCTCACTAGGATTTGACAAACTTCAGGTCAGGATCAACAATACTGTTTACTGGTTAGAAATTACAATAGCAGTATTTGTGCTAATTTTGCAAAAAGGCTTATAACTAGCGCTTCATACTGTTCTTTTGAACACTCTGAAATGGTCTGCTGATTTGTCTGGGGTGTGCTGTGTTTCCTCATGCCACCATTTTCATTTGAGCCACGTAGCTTACTGACATATCATTGTTGGTAATGATCGACTCACAATTCAGGCCATACAATTTACGAAGCATGTGATACAACCCATAACTCAAAGCATGCTTTTTTGGTGAGTCGATTCAGTTCACGACTCACCCCTAAACAATTTGCTCATGAGTCGATTCATAACTAAGTTTGAATCGAACACAAGTCTGCTGCGAGCAGGCGACCCTTGTGAATAAATCACATGGAACATATGCCTTCATATAATAAGCCGCCAACCATGGGATCGGTTCCATTTTAAAGTCGCTAGAGGATGTTTGCTCGCTTTAGATGCAAACCAGCAAGAAACATTCACAGTCAAGACTACCGTTAATTACACGGCACATGCGTAAATATCCGCATTTACAGCAGCTCCAGTGCCAGCTGCATCTCCAACTAAACCCACTTCCGAGCATCCAGCGCCTCAGCCGACCCAGCCAGGGGGACGACCCCCGGTGCATCGCCCCCACTCCACATCCTCATCCTCCGGCTCTTCTCACCCGTCCGGACAGCCGTTGTGCACGTGGCTGGTGAAGCGGCCCAGACTGAACGTGTCGAAAACGAGCTCGAGCAGGTCGCCGTGCTCTCCGCCGTCAGCGATGAACGTCAGCTGACAGACGTGCGGCAGCCGCTGCCGCCGCGGCGGCCGCAGCTCCAGGCCGTAGGTCCGACCTTCGAAGCCGTAGTAGGTCCGGTTGCAGGCTGGGGGAGGGGGCGTCGGGTCAGCACTGCCTCCCACGTGGGCCACTCGTGCCGGAGTGCGTCCGGCTGCTCCATCGGAGGGGCATCGTCTGAAAGGTGGGCGCAGACCGTGCGTGCGTTTTCGTGTTGAGGCAGGTTAACTTCTGGCTGTAGGGAGACGTGGTCGTTAGGTTAAATGAACATCGTGTCCGATCGCACCATATCGCACTACACTGACGTCACCCACCAGGAAAAGTAGCTAACACGCGCCCGGGTGGCCAGTTGAATATGACGTGCTCGGGTGGGGAGGGGGGGGGGGGAGGGGCGGCAAATTGACCGCCTCTAACATCTCTATCACAAGGCGAGCTTAAGGCGACAGGTTCGTTGGAAAGGTGAGCCTGTATGTGTAATCCCTAATGTTAAGTTTTGATGCTCCCAGCCATGACCTTCAGGTCAAATAAGGTGAAGCAAGGCCACATTCCAGATGGATGCTAGCCGTGTCTGCAGACCACCTCGTGCAACCATTTATAACCTACACATCACTTCTAAGCCAACTGTCACTGTTGCTCATGTCAGATCAGTGACCTGATGTGACCTTTAGAGGGTCAAGGTCACCAAAACTTTTGAGACTAAGCTGGAATTTGAATTCGAATTATGGCAGATGACTACGCTAGGCTAGGTGGTAACCTACAATGGAAGGTTTCATTGAGGTCATCTCTGGTCAGTAACCTCTTAATTTCATCAAGTTGGAATAAGATATCTTGTAACACCCTTGTGATCAAGAGATTTGAAATAAGCTTCAAATGCCACTCAATAAAGGAAGCTCTTCAGAACAAGAATGATCTCGTATTGACCTCGGTCTCACCTCCATAGGAATCACACCCCGCACCTCTGGTTTCCCACACGCGCAGTGGTCAACGCAGCCGCGTTAACCACGCATTAACCCTGCATCACCAGCACCCCTAATCTGTCTTTCAAAAGGTTTATATGTCTTATAGGGTGTGCAGCCCTGGATGACTTAATGGCCAACGTGCACCGTGACTGTTTTGAGGAATTCTATGTCGAAATATAATAGACACAAAATAATTATTTACAGTCGTAGTCCGAGGATACCCAGTTGGAGATACTGACGCCTGCCTTTGCTCTGCGAAAACTGTGATGGGCCTCGTAAGTAAGATCGCTCCCTTGCCAGGCAGATTCAAACCCACGCGGAACAACTACTCCAAGGCGCTGGGTCACATCAGAAGGATTGATTTCAGGCGTGACTGAACCATGAGCTGTGCTCGGAGAGCATTGCTGAAAGTTTTTTTTTTGTAATATCTAAGCGCTCAGAAATGTGTTCGCGAATGTTCAGCGCTCCAGCCTTACGTCAGTGCGGGCTGGGTGGTCGAGCAGTCTGCGGCAGTGTATTAAGGACAGGGCGTACTCCGATGCACGTGGACAGTTGCTAGCTGAAGTAACGGGATCATCCCGCAAGCGTGGCTCAGAACGGGTGACCTTCTGCGACAGGTCACATAGGTGAAGAGAACACTGACAGACAAGGCTAGTTGGCTGATAAGAATTTAGATGCCAACCTATGTCCTACAGAACCAATCAAAAAGAGATATGAGGCAGCATCTTGACATTGGCATGCATAAGGCAAGCATATCTTTGCTCAGAATGTACGGTCAATTTGGCCCCGAAATGAAAGCTTGAAACCAGACGAAAACCGTGGGTTGAATAGCACCAGGCAGTGTGGTTGGAGCTGGGAAAAGCCTCGACATTCTCCAGAACACAATCTGATTAATTAAAACGTGAAATAAAACATTTTTAACATACTTTCACACTGGATGTCTGAAATGGGTTGATCAAATCAATCAGGCATCACCTTGCAATGCGATGGTCGGGCCGGGTCAAGCCCGATGGGGCAGCGGGACTATGGGCCGTGAACTCTACACCAAACAATATCTCCAGGCTTGGGGCGTGGAGATACCCCCCCCCCCCAAAAAAAATAGCCCACCCTCCATCCACAAAATAGCACCGCACTTCCTGCTCTGGGGGAGTCCAGTGCCGAGCCATGCAAGTGAAAACTGCAGCATGCTTGAAAAAGTCCTAGTAAGACTTTTTCGACTCACGGGTTTTCGTGTACTTGTTAATTTCCGGATCTCCATTGGGAACAATACTGCGTAGAATTCCTCTGAACCAAATTACGTAATGTCGTTCTGCCATTTAACCACAAAACAAGACTGCAGAATGCTTCATCGCTCCAAAAAACCTACCTTTCAACCTATTTAAGGACTAAAAACCCAAATCTGGATGCGCCATTAGAGGACTAGCGCTAAAAAACCAGACTTGTACAAAGTGAAAATGACAAAGACTTGGGGTCTAATGAACAACAGACGGCATGCGCATACGACGGGTAATTGACAGCATTCACGGCATGCTGTAGTATTAACAATTTAAACTATCTTCGGACGGAAGCGCACAAGAACACACACACACACACACACACACACACACAAATAGGTGCGTGCATCTCCCCTGTCGCATCTAGGTGCGAAAGTGAGATGATTGCTGCATTGGTGAGACATTTCAATTCATGGGTTTTTCGCAACAGGTCCCTCGCACGCAATCCGTATGTGGTTTTATATCGGACAGCAGCCAGCATGCTCTCTCACAGCTCCATTTTCCTGTATCAAGACCTGTCATTCTAACACAACCAACTGGTCAGGTTTTAAAAGTGGTACTATAACCATATGCCCGGCAGTATAGATAAGAATGGTAATTTGATAGACGGCTGTACGCACCATGAATGTGACATATTCCCATGCGAGTGAAAGCAAAGGTTTGCTGGCTTTTCAAGGGCACATTCAAGTTCCGCACCCATTCTGCAGCGCAATGAACGTCTGAGAGTTAGATGTGACAATTTCTCGTGCCAATTATCGCAGAGGCGGGGGGGGGGGGAGGTATAAGCCATCTCATGAGACACTTACCGACCGCCAACAATTTCAATTCCTGCGTAGTGAGTATGCACCTATCTCTTGAAATAAGAATAAAATGGACTGAAGAAAGAAAATTGACTGAACTGCATCATGCAAGATGAACCGTTCGGCTAGGATTAAAATTGTAGAGGATGTATATTGTTTCAAGCTGGGGAACAGCGTATCCAAATACGTATGCCATTTAAAATGAAACATTTAGATAGTTTTGCATGAAATGAGACACAAAGTTGCCTGACCCATGTTTAGTGCAAAGAAGCAAACACCAGATAACGACAAAACAACATCATGTGGTACTGACTTCCGTTGATTATAATAAATGTATTGCCCCGCAGAGAGTTCCCTTGTTACGTCTCACACATAAGGACCTGCTTGAATGCTTCATTGCTTCATCAAAAGTGTTTCAAAGTCCGTGCTTCGGTAACAAATTTCACAACACGGCTTTTTTACTCATCAAAGTGTTCGGAACGCGCACCGACCCGCAGAGCTGCCGGAGACCCAATAGTCAGAGCCGGTACTTAGAGCTGACGGAGACCCAACAGTCAGAGCCGGTACTTAGAGCTGACGGAGACCCAATAGTCAGAGCCGGTACTTAGAGCTGCCGGAGACCCAATAGTCAGAGCCGGTACTTAGAGCTGACGGAGACCCAATAGTCAGAGCCGGTACTTAGAGCTGACGGAGATCCCAACAGTCAGAGCCGTCACTTTTCCATCTAAGGATTAATCGCTGGCCTAACTGACATTACCTTCCAGTATCGTCCTCAAAACACATATTTATTTGAACTGTACGCCCCAAAGAAAAATGTGAGCCCTTTCTTCGCCCGAACAACACCAGTCTCTGCTGAAACAACAGACACTCGGCACTAGCAGGAAGTATACACAGGTTTCGCGATATCCTGACCTTTTTTAAGTGACATACAGGACTTGCCCACCAGGCTCCTTTGCACATGCACTGATGGAAGCTTCGCGTTAGGTCGCATGGGAAAGTATAAAACCTTTTAGTCATCAACAGGATGTCATTTGGAGACATGAGGAGTTATGTGCAGCCAGGCGTCTTGAATTAATCGGCATTGTCTGACAGGCCATAAATGGCTGCGATGCGTCACACCATTCCACTTGAAAGGAGTTTTCATCAAGACTAGCAATGACAAAAGAGCTGTTTTCATCAAACTGATTTTGAATGGATCACTTCCGCCGGTTTCTCGTCTAATCAGATTTATTCGCCCGCATTCTGAAAGTGATTAAATCTGCCTCGCCGTCCGCCCGTCCCCAAGATTGGGAAGGAGCTGTCCCCTATTGAGCTGTTACTTGTTTTTCACATTACTTCCTTCGCAACGCTTCATAATGTCTTGCATCGAGAGCACAGCCCCGTCTATTCGTTACACCTCAAACATCAACAGGCATTGCAATTGAATGAGATGTTTTGAGAGAGTCTCCGTGACGTGCTGTGATAGATTTCACCATACCTTTCCTATTTGAAATATTCCCTTCCCTTACGCGACTCAATATTTAGGCCTTGTACTTCGTGAGCAGCTACACCCCTTAGGTTAGTTGCGAACTGCCGTTTTAGAATATTATCGGACACTGTTTTAAATGGTTATAATCATCGTAAGCCCCATTATGCCATGTCAGGCGTTTCACCCCGTTGGCCTTCTTCATAAAACAAATATTTGTACATCTGTATTATAAGTTGTAAAAACTTGTAAAGGCATTTGCGAGAATGCATTTCATAAGCATAGGCCTGCAACAACAACTGTAACTTATAAATACATAAATCTACACATCCACATTTATAAATATATGTAGATGATATCTGCGAACGTATTCTCACAGGTTTCATAAAGTCAGCTGATTTTCCCATCGCGGCGCATTTGTCAAATTTAAAAGTACAAATCACAGACACAAATCAACGATGACCTACCCTCCTGTGAAGAAGGCCATCATAACCTTAATACGCGCTCGGGAGAGGGTCAATTTGACCCCCCAAAGACTTTTACGGGATGCTTTCAAAACAGCGCTGCGTAGCCATGCCAAATTTCTCATAGACGTAAACAATTGGATAGCGGATTGTTTGGTATAACAATTTTGACGTACTGTGTACGATTGCTGACCCACCGCAGGTCAAAGTCAGTCTACGAAATCAGCGTTGACAGATCCTGGGGAATCGTTCAATCTGATGCAACAGCGGAGTGTTTGACGAAGCCATACATCTCTGAGATATTTTCTTAAGCAACACGAAAATTAAAAAAGCAAATTACACTGACCTAGGGTCAAGTATAAAGGTCAGAACATGTCAAAGCCAACCTGCCTGGTTACTGTCGGGCTTGTTGCATGGGGTAGTTTCTGGTGCCCATTGCGAATTTATTGATGGCAGGAACCGCAATTATACACATTCTATGCACTTCTTAAAGGTCAGAATAGATCACTGATCTAAAATAACCCAGGTCAACATTTTTTTAGGAACGTATTGCCTACAGTTCAGTTCCACTGAGCGCGGCGCCGGTGGCGGACGTGCCGTGGTCTCTCCCCACCTCGCGACCCCAGAAGCCTTTTAGCTGATAGCCTTCCATGTTTCGTAAGCAGTTTTAGTGGCAGTGTGAGAGTGAGGGTGCCTGTGCGCGAGTGAGAAGGCGAAGGGATCATTTCGCTGATCACGTGAATCGTGACCGACTACCTTGGACTACCGTGACTACCGAGACGGGACCACCTACCTGCCGGCTGTGCAGCGACGGGCCCGAGATGACAACTGCCGGCGGCTTCTGAGCCTATAAACAACGCGACTACAGCCATCTTCGCTCCAGTTCTGGAGCGGACAAGCTAGCAAGCTAGCGGCAAGCCTGCGTTCTGCAATGAATCGCCAGCTGCTCCGCCTATTGGTGACCTTGGCGGTCGCCCAGGTTATCGTGCGGGGCCGCCTTGCCGGCCCCAAATCCCTGGCTCCCGGCTCGGCGCGTGCCCTCGGGCCATGCGGGGTCAGCTGTTGAGTGCAGACCGCGCCAGGTCACACCGCTGGCGGCCGGGGGCGAGCTCAGGGTTGCCTCGTTCCGCTTGGGTGCGGGCGTGGAGCGCGGGCCGGCCCTCTGGCGGCCGCGGGCCTGTCCTCAGGTGACAGCCGCCCGGCGCGCCGGGGCAAGCGATCGTGGGCGCCGGGGCAAGCGATCGTGGCGCCGGGGCAAGCGATCGCGGCGCCGGGGCAAGCGATCGTGGCGCCGGGGCAAGCGATCGCGGCGCCGGGGCAAGCGATCGCGGCGCCGGGGCTGTGGCGGAGGGGTGAGTTGGCGGCGCCCGGGCGAATGCCGTGCGGGTGAACTATACATCGCCCAGTTAAACATACAAAGTTTGAAACCCAAACTGCCAGATTCTACGCCACATGCTAACTTATATGCATCAGTTTGATATTCTCTGCACTCAGTGAAACGTGGCTGCAGCCGTCGGTCCCCCCCCGGCTGCTGAACATTGAGGGGTTACCGCTGTACCGACACGACCGGCCTGCAGACAGCGGACTGCCTAGGAGTTACGGAGGGGTCGCAGTTTTGGCGCGAGACTCGTTTGATGTGACTGGTCTGAAAGCGCCTCATACTGCCGTTAGTTCATCGAATCTTGAGATTATTTGGACCCTTGTTCGACTCGCTAAAGCAAAGCAGATTATTTTCGGGTCGTTGTACCGACATCCCACTAACACAGCCGGCAGGTGTCTTATGATCTCGATGATTTGGAGAACCAGTTACAATGTGTAATGTCCACCCATCACTGCCCAATAGTGATCGCCGGTGATTTAAACATCAACCTGATTGGCTCGAGCACACGTACTGGCTATCAGAAATTGATGCAACTGTTAAGGTCTTACAATCTGCATATGTGTAACGATCCAACGTACCGTCCTGCTGGCTCGCTGTTAGATGTTACGAGTCACAAATCACAAGGACCCTCATCCAACGCTGTGGTGTCACCACCTGTCACTATAGTCCGCATGACTTCACGCGAGTATTGCTGAAAGTATCGAAAGGGAAACGCCATACCAATGTCATCACATCCCGCTGCCTGAATCGAATTGATTTTGATTATTTCAATGATTTGCTTGTGAGCGCCGACTGGTGTCTCGTCTATGGAAGTGCGACGACGTCTGAGAAGTGGGGACTCTTTTCTAGGAGTGTTTACAACCCACTTGAATGCCGTCGCGCCTGCCCGGCGCATTAAACTGCGCTGTCAATCCGCCCCACCTGTCTCAGCTGATACGCGTGTGTTGATGGTTCGTCGCCGCGTCGCTCTAGCGTGCTGTTCGCGTGCTGAGTACAAGGCACTCAATAAGCAGGCACGGGCAGCTATTAGACGGACTGTCGCGATCATATTAGGAAGCAGATTTCTGAGGCAGGTCACTCCGGCATGTGGCGGTGCGTTAAATCGGTTATTGGGCAGTAAACAGGGTACGTCAGCCACACCTAACATTCATCCTGATATTTTGAATGGCTACTTTGTAAAGGTAGGGTCTACGACTGCCGCCAGCGTGCCGAACCGGGGCACGGCTTTGCCAGTCAGGCTCCCCCGAGTTATGACCTGCTCATTTAAGGTGCATCCTGTGTCATGCGATGAGCTGCTTGCAGCTATGTCTACGATGAACCCGACCACATCCTGTGGGCTAGATGAACTTAGTATACAGCTCTTACAGAGTCTTTCCGTGGTGTCGGCTGTCCCCCACTTGACGCCATCAATAGCAGTCTCATTGAGGGAACGGTGCCCAGCGCCTGGAAACACGCTCTTGCCACAGCGCTCCCGAAAGCAAGTGATTTGAACGATCCTACCAAATTTAGGCCAATCTCTGTAGTGCCAGCGATAGCAAAAATAGTCGAGCGTATTGTTCATCATCAGCTTAGCTCATATTTTAACGAGAGTGATTCATTTTCACATACACAACACGGATATCGTAGGAATTTGTCAACAGGGACCGCACTTACTGTAGTGACTGATAAAATACTCACCGCGATGGATGCTGGGGAAATTGCTCTACTTGTTTTGATAGATCTGTCAAAATGTTTTGACGTTGTGGATCACACAGCTTCTCTTATCCAAGCTTAAGCTGAACAATATTGACACAAAATGGTTTGAAAGCTACCTTTGCGGGCACCCCAACAGGTTCAGATCAAATATCCTTCAGGGCATACTGCACGCTCCCGCAGTCTTCCGAATGGGATGGGGGTATTCAGGGTGCCGCCCTCAGGCCGCTCCTATATTCCATTTCTCGAACGA